GTTTTTGTAATTTAATGAAATGTGAATTTAATTTTTAAAAAACCAAAAAAAACATAAATTATTATATAGAGAAAAGCTAAATCATGTAAGGTTACAAATAATAACTTTAAAAAAAACATACTGTGAATGTATAATGAAGTAAAACTAGACAAATGTACTAAAATACCTTTAAATACATGTTTAAAAAAACAGAAAAAATGTTTAAAAAAAAATTAAAACAGAAATTAAAGGCAACAATAACATATTTATTTAAAAGACAAAACAATGTTTAAATGTTGTTTTAAGATGTTTTAATATTGCTCTTTCCCTCTAAAACATCTTGTAGCTGCAAAGCTGCCTTAGAAATAAATTTAATTCTAGGATTTGTGACCCAGTGACCTGAAATCTCAGTAGTTTGTCATTTGGGGCTCATTTTCTGTCATTTCTGTTTGACCTGTAGCGCTTTTTATTTATTTTATTTTATTTATTTATTATCTCCACATACTCGGATCCGCTCCGTGGCCTTCCAGGAGGAGGGTGCTGTGTCCGACCGGAGGAGGCGGGACGGTCCCGGTCATATGAGCGTCATCAGCGGCTCCGGGGCCGGAGAGCAGCGCGGGGACACCGGAGCGCCATGTCACCGCCTGTCAGCAGCGATCTGCCGGCACTAACGGGAGGAGTTTAGGCGCTGGGACCCGGTAGCGACCTCCACACCGACAGGTAGAGAAACTCAGAGGCGGATGTTTGATTTATTGTCGTTTTAATCGATCTTTAAATTGAGAAAATCGCGAACGGGTAGTGCTTCCATTATCGGACAGCTGATAGCGAAGCTTCCATTATCGGACAGTGGCTATCGAAGATTCCATTATCGGACAAGTCACTCTCCCGTGTTGCTTTCTGTGTTTATATTGACGGCGACCAAATAAAAGTAACCACAATTTAAGAGTCAAACACCTTAATGAACGTGTGTGCTAGTTTTACTGTGATAAACACGCTTTTTAATGGTCTTTTTATGCTAAAATCAAAGCGGTTTCAACTCGACTGCGTGTACTGTCGCTAATTTTAACTTTCACTCCTGAAGTCGTGCAAATAGTTGTATTTTAGGTGGTTTTGTAGCTTATATTCATCTATACATGCGGTACAAAGGTGGTGCAAAACACTAGAGTGATTGAAAAATGGAAAATAACAGCTTTAAACTTCAAATTGGCCTCTAGTTGAGTGCGTGTCCGAAAATGGATGCATAGTGGATTCGCTTGCTAAATGCAAAAAAAAAAAAAAAATGCATATTTGCGCCACAAACGTCCCTTTAATTATAATTTAGCAACTTTTAAAGAGTTGACATTTCTTGTGTCGTTTACAGAAGCAAATATAAAGTGTTTAAGTGTCACCTCATGTGACTTCTGCTGTTAAATCTTGATAAGAAACGAGTTATGGAGGCAGTTTCATATCTCTGATGGGGAAGTTTGACCCTCCTGGTTTGCCATATTTCCTAAAATTTGCACTTATTTGTATTAATACTTGGATTTTCAAACTAAAAATGGGGCTATTTTATTGTGAAAGGTTAAACAGAGTGAGATATTGGATGGAAACACATTTTTCTATCAGTGGAAAAGCGCCTGAGAGCAGCTTTGTGCTCACATAGTATCCTGCTGCTGAATGAAGCACATGACTGCTGAGTGTGTGACTGCATATGTGTGTGTGTGTGTGTGTGTTCGCCTCATTCATTCCAGCTGCTGCTGCTTTTAATACACGTTAATGTTTCCCCAGAGCAGCTCTGTGTTTAAAGGTCCCAGAATAAAGACATCATTTAGTCAAGTTTGCTGAAAAGGACGTTTGGCCTCCGGCTCACGTGACCGTTTTGTCTCTAAACTGTGCAGAGGAGGCAAAGTTTTCCTAATGGAAGGTGGATTGGGCCTGTTTTGTTGGAGATTGTGCACACAATTTGACTTTTACGCAAAATCTTAATTGATTTGAAGAATTATTTATCCAGAATGTGGCTCAGCAGGTTCATTAAATCCATCGTTAGGAGCTTTTGAAGCCCTCATGAAGGACCTCAGACACTTTCTAGATGATAAATCACCCCAACGTCACTGATATGAACCTAAAACAGTTTAAGTTTTAAGTCCTAGTCTTCCATGGAAACAGCACAACCACGACCGCAAGCAGAGAAAGCTCAAAAAAATGTCATTTTAAGTGTATAACAAGGTTCTAATGCCACCAATCATTCAACAAATCTAACATTTTAAACCTGGAATCAGCTTGTCAAACAGTTTTCCAGCTGCTCATCAGTGTTCCCAACACTGGAAAAGAAAACTGTGGCTCTACAAACTATAAATACTTCACTACTTGCATTCCTACAGTTTTTATTCTACATTCATCAACTCTTAAAAGATCGTCCACCAGCTAGCTCCTCTGTTTAGTCTTTTTTAGCCACACTGCATTGATTTTATCAGTATTTCAAGCTGCAGTTTACCTGAATAATCCTGGAGTTTCTGCAGCTCAGATCCTCGTGGCGTCTTTGCTTCGTCGACTCGAGCAGAATTTTTAGTTTTTTACAGAATCCTATTGGTGCAAACTGTTTATTTTTGGCGAGAGACGTGTCAAATAAAGTGATTTTAATAGAACATAATGAGATTTGGTTAATTTTCCCAAAGGATGGAGGATTATTGGTGTCACTGTGGTTCATTAGTGAGGCTTGTCTTGGTTTACAGGAAGGAAACTTCAACGTACGACATGCTTGACGGGGTGTAATTCACCATAACGTGGAGCAACTACGAGTGTTTGGAAGATCTTGAGGATGACCAGCAGAGACTCACTGCAGGAGCAGTTTTGTTACGAGTCCTTACTGCTGTACTAAAGACTAAAAAAATCATCTTTACCAACATCTATGATCCTTTACAAACTTTTTAAATCCACCTTTACGGCCTGCAGGGGACGAATGATTGAGCAGCTGTTGTTAATAAAGTTTCTGTCTGTCTGGAGATACCGTCTGTGTGATGGATGAGGTGATCCTGCTCACGTAACAAAGCCGTCAGATCGTCCACCTCCGTCTCACAGATTAGCTCTGGAGCGGAGGCGCTAGATTGCCGTTATCCTGAGCTGATATGTAAAGTATGCCAGCGTGTGGTGCAGGATTAAATTTGCACTTAAATCCTCATTAGGCTCTTTTTTTTTTCCCTCTTGCAGCTGAACTTTTTTTTGTCCACTTCATGATCTTTGACTCTTTCTTTCTTTCTTTCTTCCAGATTGCTGACGACATGATCCAGATGTGACGGTGAGGGAAGCTTGTTGCCGCCTCAGCGGTCCTGTGATCGGCGTCCATGTGATGCGCAGCACGGATCATGTCCTGCATAACATATTACACATAAAGTAGGAGGTTTATTAGCCGCGTGGCGTAATGAGCGGGCCGTGGCTGTTTAACAGGATTAGCCAGTCGACTGACTTGAATCAGGCCGAGTATGAGAAAACATGAAAACAGATTCTGTCGCTTTGCTCGCCGGCCGTGCAGCAGCTCGTCCTTATCTCCTGTTATCTGTCAGGCCAAAGGTGGAAAAAACAAACACACCTGATGTTTGTCAGACGAGACGGCTTGAGGTTAAAACTGCTGCTAGCGAAGCAAATCTGACTTCTGCTTTGATTCAGTTTCCAAATTGCTCATGTGTGGTAGTATTGTTATGCAACGACATTTACTATGACAACTTTAAATCAATCCGTCAAACGCTTGACACGCTCAGGAAATCCCTGCTGCTTATAGAATCTAAAACTATTTGGGGTCAACTTTTAATCATTTCAGATGACAGTTTGTCTTAAAACGATTGTTTTCAGGAGCTGCAGCTGGAGACTATTTTTATTGCTGTTTAAACCTCAGAGCCAAGTTTCTTTTTAGCTCCTCTCACATTTTTACTTCCTGCTCAACTAGGACTATAAACCTCAGATATCTTTTATGCAGTTATGGCACAGTTATAACGGCATAAAGTGTTCAAAAAGGAAAATTCTTTAATGATTTATTTTACTGCAATCGAATAAAAAAACTGGAAGCAGCACGTGCAAGACTTGTTATCGACTAATCTGTAAAATAGTCGATAAATTAATAACAACAGGTGTTAGTGGCCTCGGTACAAGTGTAGCACATGCTAACAGCTTGAATGTTCTTTTCTCTGCAGGTCAGAGTTCTTCCTTGATCCCGTTCAGTCTCAGTAACCCCAGAACACCATGATGTCCAAGTCGGCCCTCCTCAAGGTGATCCTCCTGGGCGACGGCGGCGTGGGCAAGTCGTCGCTCATGAACCGCTACGTCACCAACAAGTTCGACTCGCACCTCTTCCACACCATCGGCGTGGAGTTCCTCAACAAGGAGCTGGAGGTGGACGGGCAGCGCGTCACCCTGCAGATCTGGGACACGGCGGGCCAGGAGCGCTTCCGGAGCCTCCGCACGCCGTTCTACCGCGGCTCCGACTGCTGCCTGCTCACCTTCAGCGTGGACGACGGCCAGAGCTTCCACAACCTGGCCAACTGGAAGAAGGAGTTCGCCTACTACGCCGACGTCAAGGACCCCGACAAGTTCCCCTTCGTGGTGCTGGGCAACAAACTGGATGTTTCCGAGCGGCAGGTGTCGGGGGAGGACGCCCGGCAGTGGTGTCGCGAGAACGGCGGACACCCGTACTTTGAGACGAGCGCCAAGGACGCGACGAACGTGGCGTCGGCGTTCGAGGAGGCGGTGCGTCGCATTCTGGCGTCGGACGACAGAGATGATCACCTGATCCACACCAACACGGTGGACATACAGAAGAAGAGTCACCCTGAGCCCAGCTGCTGCTGAGGGGCGACCCACATGGAGGTCACGTGGGGCAGTTTGAGGAACTGGTTGTGCAGCTCCAGCGTGTACTCAGAATCAACCAATCTTTGTATTTGTCAAATCTTATGTATTTTTGCAGCATCAGGACACAGAAACCTCCTCTGGATTCCCTTTTAGACAGAAAATGATTGATTTATGAAGATGCTAGTTAGTAAAATATCATCCCTGCTGCAGTTTTGCAGATTTTTTGACAAACCTCAGGAGTTCCCACCACTAGTCGATGCCTTAAATTCACACACTGAGCTCAATTGTTTAAAATATGAGCAACTTTTAGGGGTTTTCAGTGAACTCCAAAGTCTCTAAACACAAGATTTCCTCATTCAAAGGCCAAAACCCAGCCTTGACGTCACTGATGGAGCCGTGGCTACGAGTTTCAGCCACAAAAAGAGAAGTCCTGCGGGTGTTTTTTGCGCCACGAGGCGGTTTGAAGTACAAGAGGAACGCTACGCACTCAGGAGACACTAGACAACCATGTTTACAGCTAGAATATCACAATTTAGCACTAATTTCCCTTAAACGAAGCAGAATCCCCAACATTTTATGCACAAACTGAAGCTGAAAACAAAAGAAAACAAGACAAATTAAAAAAAACTTCTTATTATATTGACGTAATTTTGATGATGGACTCAAAATAATCAAATATTTCCCATCTGTAGCTGTGACATCGAGCACGGAATATATGAAAGCATATAAACAATTTATTCGTTTATATTTTTAATGTGTGTTTTCTGTGATTGAAAAATGTTTTGGCAGCGTGATAGCGTCCAATCAGAGCTCTTTAAAATGCTATCGGTGTGAAAATGGAAGCTTTTAGAAACTGTTGATGCCAAAAAACTAACCGAGTGTGTCTCTGAGGAAGAGAAGAAGCGACCCACGGTTGTTTTTCATGTAACCAGACAGCTGCAGTCATGCATTTCCTGTATTTAAGTATTTATTCATCAGTTGTGGTAACGTCCACATGACTCTAATTCACTGGGGACTTCTTTTTTTTTTTTTTACACTGGAAATAAAACAGCAGCCAACAATGCAACCGGATACAAATCTGACTTTCATGTGTGTGATTTTTTCTTCTTCTTCTGTGGTGCAGTACCAGTTTTGTCCACAAGGCGTGCTCAGGTATTACAGGTTGGAGAGATAAACGCCCAGTTTGAGGCCTCACAGCTCCGACTGGAATTTAAATGAGGAGAAATTCAGCATTTAATACCGACTGGAGGCTGAACACACACATAGATATGTTTTATTGGAGGTTAAAGGGAGCTCTTTTGGAAGTCATGTGGGGTCAGATTAGATGCTTTAGGAGCAACATATTTGTGACGCATTAATCAGCGTCAGGCATGATGAGTGGAAACACCTGAAGACTGTCTGTGAGTATTCACTGGCTTCAGATTTTTTAATGTTAAATCTCCAGAAACAATGTAATGAGAAACCAGCATTTACTTTTCTTGGAAGTCATTTGACATGTTGGTGTTAAAAGATCCACTTAATCAACTCAACTGGAATCAGCTGTGAGCAGATTAATTAGCAGATATTCCCTCAGAGGTGCGTTTTCAGTGTCTATCAGCCAGATTAGGCAAAAACTATCAAGCCGAATTTTGTGAAACTCTGTGGAGAGGTGGAGCAAGAACAAATAAAGTCCTGATAAAATTTTGTTGCAGATCCAAAGTAGTTTAATTAAAATTGCAAAATAAATGCATGGACTTTGGTGGAGAACTGTGCCCTATGAGTGCACTTCTGGTCTGAGAATTGATTTGATTAAGAAGCAATTTAGGTTTTTTACTAAATTTAATATCTTTGGATTTGAATTCTCTTTGATATTAACAGAAGTGCAGTTAGTCATGGTGAATTATGGTGGAAATTTGAACTATTTTTAAATGTTTAATCGGCTTAAACGTGCAGTTATTTTAGAAGATAATCATCGAAATCCTGGTACAATCATGAGCTGCAGCTCTACTAGTGATATTTTCACGAGGATGAATTTTATTTCTTTTTTCTTTTTCTTTTTTTTAAATCTGTTGGTAGTAACCATCTGATTAAGAAAATTATGATTTTCTAAAGCACTGCAAATATCACCATTTAACTTTCAGAAAGTCTATCGTCCATATTAAAGTGTTTAAAATTAATGTTGTTGACAAGAAACTGGATGGAACTATAGAAGAAAAAGCAACTGGGTTGATCTAATGAGTTAAAACTGTAATTGCAATCTACAAAACATTTTTATTTCCGCACAATATTTAGCTCCCTTTATGTATAGGGTGGACAAAATATTAGAAACACTTTTAAATGTAACGCAGTCCAACACACAACCACCTACTATGGCCTCGTTAATTAACATGAAGTAGATTTATCACCTTTTGGACAAGAAAAATTTAAACTTGAAGCTTTCTGAAAGAAGAATTTAGAACTTTGAGTGAACCTGTAACCTTAATTATGAGAAAAAACACTATTTCCTAGAAAGATTCCTGCGATTCGTTCATTGTTTATGACTGGTTTGTCTACAATATTAACATTTCCCTGCACAAAATGATGCAGTGATACAGTTTTACAGAGTCTGCGCTGATGATAAGTTCCCACAAAAACCACAAACTCAAGAACGACGCGGGAGACAACGGTGTCACGATAATAAAAAATATCGGTTTTACTAGAGAAGGTTACAAAAATCATCACTATATAGGAGTCATAGAACTATTTCCAACTTAAAAAATAAAACCATAATGAAACACCTACAGGGACTACAATGCCATCAAAGTACAATGGAGTTTTCTTTAGAAAAGAGTGGTGGGAGGCAGGGAGGGGCAGGGAGGGGAGGAAGGGGGCAAACACCGCCTACCATAGTTGTCAGTACAATTGACTACACATCACCTGAAAAACTGCAAAGACACAGTCATGTCTCCTTCATGCAAATAACGAGGAAACAACAACACCCTGACACGCATCGTCTTATAGGAAATTGAAGTTTGCCTTTTACATCAACCTGGCGGCAAAGCACGTATATTTATCAAACATAACACACATGGCAATATAGTCCTTTTTTATACAGAATAGACAGCTGCACACATGGACGATACTGACATGCTTCATCTCATCGAAAAAAACCAAAAACGTTTTGTCTTCTTCAGTGTTTTTTTGAGGGTCAACTAACCAGTGATGGTCGATATAGAATATAGTTCATGATTATTTAAAACAATATCTGGTTACAAAATTAATGTATGAAAATTCCTGACTTGTTTTTATTCAGAGTGTAAACATCCAAAACAGTCTCTGTGGCTCATATGAGAGGCATGGCGTTAGAAAGGATCAAAAGGATCAAAAGTTTAAAAAAAAAAAAAAAAAAAGCGACTTCAGCGAGTCGCTCGTTTGGCTGGCCGTCGAAAAAAAAAAAGCACAAACATGTTCCATAAAATAATCATTACTGAATCACAAGAAGAAATCAGCTGCCTAAAACTGATAAAACATTAAAAAAATCAATTTTTCCGTATTTTCTTTTTTTTTTCTTCACATTTTAAAATGTATACGTCACAAGCACCTCAACCCATCATATCATGACTGCACTGTATCCCTCTCACGACATATCATTTAAGATGTTACATTACAATTATTATATCAAATGCAGAACTAGTATTTGAGTGCTAAACACATATCTCAAAGGGTACATTTACATATATCTGTGGAAAAAAAATAAAATAAAAAATCATAGAAGAGCATGGCAAAAAAAACACTGATTGTGTTCCCCCACCCCCTGGTCTGCTGGGAGAGGTGTCATCCATCTTTTAGGGTGATTCGGCTATTTACAGGTGAGTCTCAAAAAGGAGGAACCGATAGAAGAGGTTTGTACCGTATGATCCACACAGGACAGCGAACCGATCCGCTGAGAGTCTGAACGGAACGCAACTGGCGAGAAATCAGATTTGGTTTGATACCTGAGGTGTGTGTGTGTGTCTGTTTTTAAGACCCGATTTATCTTTGATTTCTGCTGCCGCTGGTGATGAGTGTAGCAAAAACCACAAAGGTCTTAAAAAGGAACAGTTTGGCAGTTTCTGAAATGTGCTTGTTTGCTTCCTTGCTGAAAGTTAAGATTAGAACAGGGACCTCCAGCTCCGGTCCTCCTGAGCCGCAGGTTTTAGACGTCACTGCAACACACCAAACCGATGGATCATTAACAGACTTGTGTAGAACTTGACAACAAGCTGAAGGAGATCCATTAATGTGAATCAGGTGTGCTGCAGTAACGTCTAAAAACCTGCAGGTTGGAGATCCGTGGATTAGAAGGTTGATCCCACCAGTCTGGGGATCGCTGGACAAAATTTTAATTATTTGGTAATTTTATAAAAACAAAAACAAAATTGAGGTTTTTGAGTTTGGTTTTTGTCTCTTTTTTTTTTGCTTTGAATGATTTTGGTTTAATTTTAATTTTAATTTTTTAAAGGTCACATGACTCATTTTTGGTTGCTAAAAAACACAAATTAACTATTTTTTCTTATTAAAAAAAATTATTTTTTTTTGATTATCGCATCTGTGAAAGCTTTTCTGTTTTTTGGTAGTTTTTCTTTGCTTTTAATTATTAATAAATTACAGCTGATCCAATGATAGCCAGACTGTGTGGTATAGCCGATTAGCTTAGCTAGCTTAAAACACAGGGAAACGGCTAACCCCGCTCCATCTTAAAGATATAAATTGTTTTGGTCATCTTGTTTCTTTAATTTACACAAAAAAACAAGCTGGCAAAACCACACATTGCTCTCAACAGAGCTCGTCTTGCTGTTTCAAGTTCCAGTCGCTATGCTAACCTTAGCTAGCCCGCTACTGGCTGTAGCTACAGACATGAGATAACTTCTCATTTAATCCTGGCTAGTTTAAACACTGGACCTAGCTCTGTTTAAAACAAATAAAATTGGCTCGCTAAGCTTATTTTAAGTTTACGATGTCAAGTGTTTCTCTAATTTACACAAAACCAAAACGTTGCTCTCTAGAAAACTTTCCAGTGTTTATGCTAATCTTAGCTAGCCCACTGTTGCTCGATTAAACACTAGAAACGGGGCAAATTAGCTTTGTTTAAACAATCAAAACTGGTTTATCAAGCTTAGTAATGAGTCTATTATCTTCTCTACTTAATTCACATAAAAACAAAGTGTTCAAACGCTCCGAAGAGAGTCAGTCATGATGCTAACACTAGCTACTATTAGCTACTATTCTCCTCATCCAACCCTTGGCATGAAAACAAATAAGCACACTTCTCAAAACTGTTCCTTAAATTAAAGTTTGCTCCGGTCTTAAACAAACTGTGTGTTGGTGGTTAAATAAACTCTGGTCATATAAATGCACAGTAATCCTTGAGATACCACGTGATCCGGGTTTCTGTTCGGTGTGTATCTATGAGGGAGCGGGTCGGGGTGGTTTGTGTTTTTCAGGGATTTTTAATTCTCCCTTATTTTTTTTTGTTTGTTTCTTAAATAGTGCAACAACGTATCGAGCAATTAGCAATAAAAAGTTAAAGATGGAGAGAAAAGTAAAGGAGAGAAAAAACATATGAGCGCAAAAACATAAAGAAGAAGAAGAAGAAAGATCATAATAGTACCTGGCATACTTTTCAGAGAGTATTAAAAAAAAACAACAACATTCGCACACATTCGCACAATATATTCATATTCATATATATATGCATATAAAACACCAAAAAACGGAGGAAGGTGGTCGCTGCCTGGCTTCCCTGTGGCCGAAGCAGACAGTGAACAATGTTTTTTTTTTTAGGAGCTGTGTGTCGAGAGGCTGTGCTGGCTCAGGGCGCGAGGCCATCACAGCCGGGCCACGTTCACGAGCCGGCGCCCAAAAGCACTGGGGGAGGAGACGCTTCTGAACTGATGGACTGTACCTGAGCTCGACCCGGCGGGCCAGCTCTCCCGTTCCGAAGCATCTGCCTCCGTCTGGGCCTGCCGCCTCTCCTGACCCTCCATCCTCTTCCCCTCTGGTGTGAGCGCACACCCACAACCCGTGACAATCATGGCGGAGGGGAAGAGGATGGAGACTCAGGAGGCTGGGGGACTATCAAACATGACCGAGGTGGTTTGTTTTAACGGAGGGAGGGGGCGGGCGTTGGTGTCGTGGGGCGAGGGGGTCGAGGTGTGGAGAGGAGATGGGTGGTGGCGGGAGAGGATCTCTTGTCCTTATGAGTAGGAGGAGGAGTTCTGGCCCTCCTTGGAGCGCGCCTCGGCCTCCAGGTCCTGGTCGTCCTTGGTCTTGATGTCCTGGTACTCGTGCGTGGAGACGGCACTCTTCAGGTAGGCCCAGTTAGCCGCCAAAATCATCAGGTAGTGGATCTGAAGAGACACGACATGTTTGCGGTTGGAGTTCATGTCAAATACATCGATGGGATTGTAATAGAGGCACAAAGAACCCCAATAAAAGTACAGAAATGTCCCAGATGGGCAGGTTTTGAGTAAGCGGCACATTAAGCTAATAGGTTTTATCTGTCTTGATAACTTCCCCTGCCGTGTCCGACGACAAAGCAGTTTGGGGTAGGGGTTAGGGGTTAGGGTTAGATGACTATGCTGGCTAATGGTAGCTAAGTTTAGA